TGCCTTCAAGATCTCCATCAATTTCCCACGATGTATCGAATCAAAGGCTTTACTGAAGTCTACGAAAGTCAATATTGCAGGAAGCTGTTTTTCTTTTATTCCCTCTATGAGCCTACGCAGAGTTAAAATTTCCGGTAGTGTAGATCTACCCGTACGAAATCCATTTTGGTTCACCCTGAGCAGAGGATCCAGATGAGGTCTTATTCGATCTAATAGAATCTTGTTATAGATTTTCGCAGCTGTGACAGTTAGGGATATACCACGATAGTTTCCTGTGTCACCCAAGTCACCTTTCTTTGGTAGGGGTATTATTCCACTTTTAACCCATATATTCGGTCGGTCACCATTGAATGTTTTGTTGCAGATGTCAAGCAATTGTTGATTTAAGGCACCAGTTTTCCAGACTTCAATTGGTATGTTGTCGAGACCATGTGCTTTGTTATTTTTGAAACCTTTGATACTTTTAACCAGTTCTTCCATGGTTATGTTATCCGTGTTGATGGGAAGAGGTTCATGTATTATGGAAGCAGTTGGTTTTATTATGACACTGGGTGGTTGACCTAGCAGGTTTGAGAAGTGTATCTTCCATTTACTGACACGGTCTTCACGACTTTTGGCTTTTATTCGACCCCTGTTTGTGCCCTTTCTTCTTGTGAACTCTTTTACCGTTTCCCATGCAAGACCGGATTTTTGGTGATGTATAGCGTCAGTAATTGCATGAATCTTTTCATTCACATACTTCTCTTATTCTCGATCGTAAGATTCCTGTAGCTCTTGTTTGGCCTCCTCCAGTTTTACAGCACTGCTTCCGGTATTTCTTCTCAAGCATACCTCATAAGCATTCTTCACCATTTCCCTTTTTTCTATGATGTTTTCATTTTCCCACGGAACGTGTTGCTTTATCTTGGCCTTCACAGGTACACTGATTTCTGCAGCTTTTTCATGGGCTGTCATGATATTCTCATACATCTGGTTTGCATCCTGATTACCATGTAAGTCCTGTTGAGCTTGGTATCGGTTGCAGACTTCCACAGTATACATGTCTTTGATGATGTTATCATTGAGAAGCTTGTTCCAATCGTATCTGATCTTTTTCTTACCAGATGGTTTACTTTGCCGCAGGCTTAGTCTTATTTTAGCTGTGACAATACGGTGATCAGATCCCACAGAACAGAAGGTGTTATAAGCTTCACAGTTTAAAGCGCTATTTTTCCATTTGTTGTTTATTAAGAAATAAAATATTTGACATTTGGCTCCAGATGGTGATGTATGAGTCCAAAGCTTACCTTCGCACTTTTTAAAACTGGTGTTCAGCGGTTTGAGATTGCATTCTAACATGTAGTTTAGGAGCAATTGCCCATTAAAATAAAATATTTAAATAACTCTATTAATTAATAGCAGTTCTAATTTAAAGGAAAAAGTTATGAGAATAAAATAAAAGTTGTCTGTATCACGAAGCTTGCCTTCACTGTTTAGACTGAGAGTCCTAAAGCAGCCTGTCCTAAAGCTTTGTTAGCATGTATTCGAATATCTTATGACGGTAAGTCCGCCACCCACACCACCCCGCGCCGTACTGTTTTCACTCAGCGGCTGGTCAGCGGTCACGTTTATGAGGTAAACATGGCGATCACCTCCTGATCACCGTTCTTGTCGATCAGAAAATCAAAATACCAGCGTGATATGGCCTCGAAGGTGAAGCAGTTTTTTGTTGATTCGTACTTCACATTCGAGTCGAAGCTTGGGTGGCGCAGGTTATTTCTTACGGTGGAATCGACGAGGGAAATTCGAACACTAGTTGTAGTGTTTGTGTTGAGAATGAGTAATAAATCCAACTCCTTCGAAAGTGATCTACTGTATTTCCAAAAAGGACCCGTTCCGTACAAAAGCTGATTACATCTGAATATATCGCGTGAGCATGCAAACCTAAAATACATCAGTAACATTAGCCTGCGTAGCAAGGCGGTTTTGGTTGGGCGCGCTAAGTAATAAAGGCGGGCGAGGGCAGAGAAACCGCGAGGATACGCCGCTCCTAGCCTGCGCCCGGCTCGACAAAACCGCCATGCTACGCAGGCTACAGTAACATCTGTTCATTGTTCCTGTTCACGATAAGAACCGACAACGTTGATTGACTTGATACATCATTCCGTTTACTATAATAACATCTAACCTATTCTCGGTTTTCACTGTCACGCAATCAAAAATAAAATTGCAAACCATTCAATACAGAAAGTCCCGAATCTAGGAAATAAAAGAAGATAAATAAGCAAAACGCCTCGCCAAGAATCAGGTCTGTGCGATATTTCATATGCGAGATATTAGGAAAAACGTTTTACCCAAATTTAGAAAGCTTTGTATGGAGACGCCATGTTTGTGTCCCTTTGCGGGGCACAAATATGGCCGCCGGAAACCAACAGAAACATCTGTTTTTGAGTTTTCCTACTAATGCGTTAATTCATCGCTTGAAAAACTCATAAACTATTAAAGTGATATTTATTCTGAGACAAGGAATGTTTAGACAGCAAAATCTCCCAAAATTGGTAATGTTTTTAACCCACATAAGAGCCGTTGTGGCCGCCAGCTAAATGCTGCGTCACGCAAAAGCCTAGAAATTCAAACGTCCTCTATCGCAAAACGAAGAACCCTTTCGAACCAAAACTCTCTTTAAATAAAGGTGTTTAGGTGCTGTAATACCTCATGAAACTCAGAAACTCAGAAGAATCGATAGTTTCTTAGTTTGAATTTTAGTGACGTCATGTGAAAACTGAGAATTCAGCGTAAAAGCGAATTATCTGCATGTAATCCGATCAAAAATGGTTAACTTGACAGCTCCTACTAACGCAATAGCAAAGTAATAAAAAACAAAAACAATGTCACACTATTCAGAAAGCTATCGACAGTTTGAATTGTTGGACGAAATGGTCGCATGGGGATGTAGGAATGGTAGGTTTAACGAACAATTTCAAATGTTGCCCCTTGAATTGAAAGTGAAGTTCATTTGAATGCTTTCGTATGTATTTCTGACGGCTTTAGATCTACCTGCTCGATTTATATCTGCTACGCTTCATGTTGACAATTCCCTCAAAGCAAAACTTGGAGATTGCCGAAAATTAGGTAAGTTCACGGAGTTATAAAGTTTTAGTAAAGGTCGGGCCGCAAAGTTTTTTTCTGTAGTCACCTTTTCTATGGCACCTACTTCCTAGCTATATTAGTTGGATCAGTTAAGAACGCCTCACTTTTTCAAAAATGTACCTTGAATTTGATCGGTTTTCGCGTGTGTGACTTAAGCGAACCGATAAGGTGTCGTTCCAGTCTTCCTGTTTGCTTGATTGAAACGTGATGTTCACGAAAGTCGCCTCGATGGATAAGATAGAGTTAGTATACATGGCTGTGGTATTTGTTGTTTGCTGAGTCCCGTAGCTTGTTGTAAATTGTCCGCCAAACTTGCCTCAAATTAACGTCTTGAAAAGTGTCACGACAGGCCTTCGCTTGAGTGAAATTTAATTTCCGTAAAACTCTGAAAAATAAAGAGATCCGATCAAACGGATTGTGGTTTTAGTATAGGTACATGAATGTCTTACAACACACAAGAAATGAGCTAAATCTGTCTCAAGCAAAATCGACCGGACCGCTCTTACAGAGACACTCTCTTAAAAACGTGGTCGTAAATCTAGAGCAAAAACGGTAATGCCATGCACATTTGCATACCAATTAACATGGGGCCATGGTTGTAAATAAGGGGGTAAATGTGGCATTTACCAGCCAGGTTTGCGCCAGATTTAACCGTCAGTTTTCATATTGCGACATATTTGCCAAGGGCAACTTTGGGCGAATCCATTTTTCGACCAATTATTATAACAAGGTAAGACGGTCTCTCAGTCAGTGCCCAACAATTCGTGCTCTACTCTTAATGAAATGATCATGTATGGTATTCTTTTGGCATGTTTGTCTTTTTACTGTAAACAGAAATTGACTTCCTGATAGCAGTGAAAGCAAAAATATCTCACTTTAAAAGAGATCTCTACTCAAGAGAATCATACTTCATATACTCAAGAAAAGAGAGCGTACCGGCTTTGTAGATTAACTCCAATTCAAACTGAAACTGTAGTAATCACTGCACAGTGATTCGTCGAGTCTTTCGAAAACCTATTTTAGTTTACAAGAGTTTACAAGTGTTTGGAGTTTTCTTTTATTTCAGTCTATTATTTTGATGACACAAAAGATAATAAGTATAACTCAAACTTGATTTACATATTCAGCGTGACAAATTCTGTAGCGAATTCAGGAAAAGACATTCAAACTGCCAATAATTAATATAACTCAAGGATACCTTTCATTAATTTTACCAAATATTTATTTTTTGGCAGGATCAATGACCTGATAAACTGCAACGCGAAATTTGTTCTTGTTCAACTTATTGATATGACAGAGATCACGTTCACTAAAAGATTCTGATGAGTCATCAAACACGAGTATTCTACACATCCTCGAGGTGTACACATAAAGGCTACCTTTTCATTTGATCCAAAAACACTGATTCAACCATGACTTTCAGAAAATGGAATTTCGTCTTCCTTGTCCTTACCTATTTCATCGTTTCCAGTTGTTTTGCAAAAAACAAACCTCAAAGCGACGTTTCCAACTCAGCGATGTACACAAGTGATAAACCACGTCAACCAATGGACCAAACCTTTAACATCAACAACTGGGGCTTTCGAAGCGCTGATCGAAAAACTTTAATACAGATAAAATCCAAAATCGACTCTCTTTATGAGCCGAAATCGACCCCAACAGGTAACTCATTTACATTTAATATATTTGAAAATTATAGGCTTGATGTTAAAATAGCGGTTGATATCACGAGGCTAAATGTGATAATACTAACGAAATATGTTCTAGTTTCAGTTTGTCCTCAAGATGGTTGGGTCCGCTACGGAAACTTCGGTTACCTCATCATCAACATTCGAACCCTGAAATGGAGCGATGCTCGACGAACGTGTCAGATGCTTGGAGGAGACCTCGCTATAATAAAATCAGCTGCTGAGAATAACTTCATATTCAGCTTGCTCAAGAAACAGAAAACCATCACCGTTTGGGGTGTGTGGCTTGGTTTGGTCCGCAAGGCAGACAAAAAGTTTTACTGGATTGATGACACTCCACTGGCGAAAGGTTACAGGGCTTGGGGAAGCGGCGAACCAAACAATGCTCGTGGGATTGAAAAGTGTGGAAACATGTATGGGTTGGGAGTAGGCAAGTGGAACGACTTACCTTGCGATATCGATCCGGCAAAGCATTGGAAGTACGCTCCAGTTATCCTTTGCAAGAAAAAGCAAATTAGGTGACTTGCGTCCCAAAAGTCAAATAGAGTAGAGCACTTTTTTGTAATGCCATTCAATAAATTAAGTAATACAACATTTTAAAAATCAAAACTATCGATTTTGGGCAAGGAAGGAGTGCACACTTCTTACAGTGAGAATTGTTCGTCAAGTGAAGCTAAGTTAAGAGATTGAAAATAGATTAATTAAAATCAAAAATAAAATGGCGGTTACATTTAAAAAATGCTGTCCTTTCGTTTATGATCTTTATTTCCCGGCTACTTTAACCAATAGATCGTGCGTCTTTCAGTTGAAAGTAGATAATTATTTCTAGACATAGAAGAATAATAGGGATCTCAGGCTAGCGGCACTACGAAAACATGATTAATAACACGAGTTGCCAACTACAATAAGCGCCCAGAAAATAATAAATATATAATAAAATAAACGAAAAAAAAGATTGCTGATTTTAACTCAAAAATGTTCTGTGATGGTTTGACCACCAGCCACAAATCAAACTTGAGAAAAGTGTACGTAATGCATAGGCCTAGTGTCCTACTGTTGTTGTTTGTTTGTGAGAACCCTTTTCATCCAAATGCTGCTATTTGTACGAAGTAGGCTTCATAGATGGCGTCATATTTGACTACTCTAAATAACTCTCGGGGCGTCCATTTAATTTCAGGGGTCCAAGCAGAGGTGTTTAATAGATAGGAGGCGTTAAAAGAGAGAGAGAGGCCTTTATTTTTATAACGTCAACAAGTTCACAAATCTAAGATATGCTTTCGGCGAAAAGATCAAGAGAGTTTCACGGTAGCGGGATATCAACTCCATCAATTGATACGTCTAGAGATCCATATCTCTCTTTCAATCCCAACACTGATGTCAGAATCCTTACTGTTGTGTTGCTGTCGTTAGTCCCCGCGTTAGTCTATCCTTACTTTGAACTTAACATTGAACAAAATGAAATACACAAAGCCTCGTTAATAATCAAGCAAGAAACTGAATTTCCTATTCATATTCACGACTAAGAGACGGGAATGGGAGTGCAGCTCGAACTATGGAGCCTGAGTGTTTAATGCCGTCCAAATAACATACAAAGTTCAACATCATAACTAAAGAATGGTATACAAATATTCCTAAATAAAGTCACTCAGGCTTAACTGATCACTAGCCTGTGAACAGGCCTTTAGTCGAGCGGCGTGGGGAGAGGGAAAAGCGAAAAGGCCTGTGGACAGACCTTTGGGGCCGCCGTTCCACGGCACCCGCTGTGCATCAGATCCTGATGCAAGCTCCTATTGGCGAGAACACTGACTGTTGACAGGTCTGATTGACATCGGCTTTTCGGTCGGCACGTAGCACGCGATTTGATCACAGAGTGGCAATTAACAAAACAGTCCAAAGACTATTACCACGGGGAGGAACTACGCGCTCCGGTCAAAAGACTCAAACTGTCTTTACAAAAACACTAAGCTGGAGTTTATAGTTAACGAAGCACAATGCAATTCTCCATAGCTGATGTAGCTTCGGTTTAAGCTGCATTTCAATCTTATAATTTTGGATCTGTAAATAACCATCCGTGATAATTTTTATACAGTGACGAGCTGGGCCCAGCGTCAGAATACAACATTGCAGAAAATCATTACATTCACGGACTAAAGAAAATCGCTTAGTTATTCAGATCGAGAAGGCACTTTGGAGAAAAGTAAGACCCTTATTCAGCCGCAAAAAAAGAAAATGCTCTTGCATCAGAGGACAAATCCTGTCGACCAGAAACAAAAACCACAGTAAATCGATATGTGTGCCACGACCTCTCAGTGTGAAACAAGCGGCTAAAATCACATTTGCTCAGTGAAAATGTAGAACCTTCCAGAGAATAATCTACCGCGCAGAGGAAAAAACTTATGGGAACAAGCAGCATTTTGGCATAAAGTAAAAGTCGTGTCGGCCTACCATGTAATTCCTGTCGGCGATAGAAGCGCTGCTGATCTCTTTGTACTTATCTTCGAAGCTTCACTTTCTGGAGAAGTCATGATAGTATCTGTACCTTCCGCATTCCAAGTTCGCTCATTGCAGCGGCTTGTTAAATTACAAACCGAACTAGCAAGACGAACGGCTTGTTTTAAATCCTCTTACCGGAGATCGACGACTTTTTGCAAAATCAACAATGACGTTCATGCTCCATTTCACTCTGTTTTCAGACGGAGCAAAACACCACTCATTTCCTGTTAATTTTCCCAGGAGTTACTCACGCGCGAAATTGATTGACCGATAACGATCGACTGACAGATGTTCGGCAAGATAATTACAAGAGGCGGAATAGCGGCCTCAAATGTTTGTCTACAGGCTCTCTCCCCCCCTTTCCCTTCCCTTTCCTTGCTATTTTTCCCCAAACGGAGAGCCTGTTCACAGGCTAACTGATCACATGCGCCGCCTGATACGAAAACCCAAAAAACCCAATGGGAAAAAATTGGGAACGTATTCCGCAGCCGATGCGGTCGCACAACCTCTGGGGTTAAAGGTAAAAATCAATCGATAGATGAATAAAGTAAGATATAAAAATAAAAGTTGATAGTTCGAGAGCTGAGATGAATACATTACAACTGTCAAAACCTTATATACCTAATAACAATAGAGTCAATTAACGCCATAGCGGCTCACGTGCGTTCATACCAATAGGAAAGCATTGACATTCTCTGTCACTGCCACTACATTTAGCTCGCCGAATGTAAATACATGAATTGAATGATTTTGCTCCTTTTTCGAATTCCTTGTAATTCGGAGTAATTCTCATAGGAAGCGTTTATTAGAGAGTGGCGTCTAATACAATTTAAACGGCGTAGAGGGGGCGTTTATCAGATAAAAGGCGTTTATTTGAGAGTGGGCGTCTATAGCTCGCTCCGGAAAAGAGTGACAGCCTGGAATCTAAACTAAGCACGCGGGCACTTATGGAATTGTTTGGGGGGACGGGTCGAGCAGCCACCTTGAATACAGCTATTTCGAGAAAGGTTGTCGGAAAAAGTGCACGCGACAATACCGAAAGGAATTGTGGGTGGTTTTGAGTTCACCGATTTTCAAAGAAATTTGAAAGAATGGCACGAGAGGCCACGGACGTATGTTGGCGAGTGCTAAAACAAAGCAACAAAAGTAGTTTCGACAGCTACAGTGTCAGGAACAGTGTAATGATCATATCCCATATTACCTTTCGGGATTGTCGCGTGCACGTTTTTTCCAACAACTGGGTACTACCAAAGAGACAAAACAAGATGGTGGACGTTAGCCATTATCCCGTTGCATTCAGTTGCTGCAAGCAATAGCCAAGGAATAAATTAGTTTTTCTTACGTTCGTTTTCTGTTTTGTTTGATTTTTCCCCCGCGAACAAATATCTGTATTGAATATAGCTCCACCTCCGTGACCTGTATTAAAATTTCGTGACTTGGTGAGAAAATGGCATCACAACTCAGTTAATAGCACTGCTCGGGTGTTTCTAAAACGAAGACCCAAAAACGAAGACCTAAGACCTAAGACCGCATGGCCTAAAACGAAGACCCCCCTCGACTAAAACGAAGACCCAATGGACTAAAACGAAGACCCCATGGACTAAAACGAAGACCCCCCTCGACTAAAACGACTGATGCTAACCGCTAAGGGCAATACCCACTCTTGTAATTTGTTACGGCGATTTGGGAATGTTGTGGACTTTCTTCTTCAGTATTTAGTTGTGTTAATCAAGTCTATCACTTACCTTTCCTTCAGGTTTCTTTGAAAACATTTTGCATGTTTAAACCACTTTGGAAGTGTTCACGGTGATGATGACGTCAGTTTTAGTTAAATTCAAGCTTTTTGCAGCATTAACGCGAGAACGCCCTCGTGGCCTTGTGGTAAAACCATAATGTTGGGTTTAAGGTCGCGGGTTCGAGTTTCGTCGGATATGTGTCTTTTTTTCCTTGTCTTTTTCCTCTTTTTTCTTTTATTGTTATTGTTATTTTTTGTCACAGTTGTCATGAAAACAACTGTTTAAGCAGTAAAGATGAGTCAATTTTTAACAATAGAGGACAGAATATCGTAACAGCGTATGACAGGGATATAAATAAATAAAACCCGGCATAAAGACAAATGAACCTAGCTTAAATGAAACTCGAAATGTTAACCTTTACTCGAGTAATGTTCTCGATCAAAGGCTTTTTTTTCTCTATTGATGAGGTAAAAAGTAATAACAGAGCGCGAGGTTCCTCTCTCCTTGAATTCGTCAATGAGAAATGTCTCCTTGTTATTTCCTCCCTATACTACGTGTTGTCACTGTTTTGTTTTTTAAATGCATTGATACAATTCTTCGACATTTTAGAAAGCTGGAGCACGCAGTTATATTTTCTTAACTCATTACACCCGGGATGACACCCAAATCATCCGACATTGAATTTTGAACCATAAAATATCAGAAAGCCAATGGACCCCCTCCTCCCCCAAACCCCAACTACGCGCCCAAAACACGTTTGGCGGAAGTCTTCAAGACAAATCCTGTCATAAGCCTTTTTGATTGTCAGGCCTTCCATGGCCACGCTGATGACCTTTGGGCTTGTCACGCCAATCCTTTTCACCGAGGGCGCATTATAACCACACGACACACTAGATGACCCTATTTTCAAAGAAACCTGAAGGAAAGGTAATTGATAGACTTGATTATCACAACTAAATACTGCAGAGGAAATTCCACAACATTCCCAAATCGCCGTAAGGGACTGTGCAATAATTATCAGGAGGTGGGGGGTTGAAAAACTAGAGTTATCTAGCAAAAACTTAGAGAGTGCCTCCCCTTCAAAACAAAAAAAAGTCGTTCTAACCCCCCTCAAACACACACACACACACCCACCCTTCACCGTCACCATTACCATAGATGCCTTTAAGTAAATACCTTTTATATTGTCATGCTACTGTAAACGTACGCTTACTTGTTGGATGTCGTCGTCTGGAGCAAATAGTACCTCATATGAATGTTCAACAAAGCCATCCGTTTCGGAGTCATCTGAATCCAAATCAGAGTTGTTTTCGGAAGTACTTGTGTGAGAATCAGAGTCGTATTCGGAATCACTGGATAGGAGTTCTGTGTCACTGTCATTGGCACTATATTATAATAATAATAATAATAATAATAATAACTTTAATAGTAACATCCTCGTGAGGTTTTTCAGGAACTATTTACAAACTATTTACAATTTATAAAAGCAAAAATGACAATAAAAACTCGAAATCACAATTTATGATGGTATTCTACTAAATTCTAGAGCTTATGAAGGAAATGTCTGCCTCAATAGTGTGTCTTTCAGGGCTCGCTTGAAAGATGCCAATGAGGCACTTTGCCTAAGTTCATTATGCAAGTTATTGCATGTGTAGGCCCCTCTGTAGGAGAATGTGCGCTGGCCTATAGCCGTTCTGTATAGCGGAATCTGCAAAGAGTTCCGTGTACGAGTGTTACGAGTATGTATATTTGAGCGATTGGTAAACTTGCTCGTTAAGTATTGAGGCGCAAGATCGTTCTAACATTTAAAGGTCAAAACGGAGTCTCTATAGAATAATTGTTCTTTAACAGGAAGCCAGTTTAGCTCTCGAAGCAAAGGTGTTACGTGGTCAAACTTCCTAGAGTTTGTTACGATCTTGCTGGCAAAATTCTGACTAGATTGTAATCTGTTTATATTCTGGAGTGTAGTATTTGACCATACAGATGAGCAGTAAAGCATCTTACTAAAGACTAATGACGTTATTAACACCTCTAGTGTTTCCTTGTCGAAGCTCCTTTTGACTCTACTTATTTGGCAAAGCTTTGCCAAACAAGATGACACTACACATGAAATATGGTGATCCTAGGTCAGATGGGGGTCAAGAAAGACTCCCAAGTCCTTGGCAGAGTCTGTTGGCTTCAGTGTTTTACCTAAGAATACCACTCTAGGGTCGTCTGGTAACCTGTTTAACATCTGTCTGGTACCGAGGAAAAGGAGTTTAGTTTTATCGGGATTGATAAGTAGATGGTTCTCACAGCACCATTGAGCTACACTGTGAAAGTCTTGTTCGAGCTTTTCAGTGGCAGCATCAAGCTCAACGAGAGGAAATGACATGAATAGCTTTGAGTCATCCACATACGATTCTAGGTTGCAAAACGTCGGTGCCGCGGGTAAATCGTTGAGATAAATGCAGAACAACAATGGTGATAGGATTGCGCCTTGAGGAACTCCGTGAGTTATAGGTAGAGTGTCAGAGTAGCGGAGCCAATTATCACGTATTGCCTGCGAACAGTTAAATAGCTCTTGAACCATTTGACAGTAGAAGGTGAGGCTCCTAAGATGGAGAGTTTGTGGAGCAACCTTACATGGTCTATACTGTCGAAGGCTTTGGATAGATCTAATAGTACTAGTGCTGCGATCTGCTTTTTATCCATTGCTTCGAGTATCTTATCCGTGAGCAGGATGTTTAAGGTCTCTGTAGAATGAGCTTTTTTATTGCCGCTTTGGTGTGAGGTAAGGCGGTTGTTTTTTGTGAGATAGGCGCTGAACTGATTCAAAACAATCCTTTCGAGGACCTTTGAAGCTACGGCTAGCAGAGATAACGGTCTGTTGTTGGCAGCTTTTTCATGGTCACCGTCTTTAAGAATCGGAATCACCTCAGCCTCTTTCCAGTTGTCAGGAAATGTGCTAGTAAGGATAGAACAATTGATGATGTCAGTAAGAGGGCCCAATATGACGAGCGCTATGCCAGTTTCGGATGAAAAATCTCGGACTATGATGTTATGTTCTTCCCTCCGGCGCTGTACTGCGTCAGCGGCATTTAAGCCGACTTTAGCAAAAAACTGATTGAATTCGTTGGTTAAGACTGTCACATCCTTTGTAAAGGCTGGTCTCTGCTTATCTTTGGAGGGGATGGCGCGATTAATAATTTTCCAGAGTGAGCCAGAGTTGTTTTTATTAGCTGTGACCTCTTCAAAGGTGTGATCTCTTTCAGCTTCTTGTAGCTTTTTCATTACCAAGTCACGGGAATGTTTGAAATTTATCCACTTGGTGTCTTGGCGAGACTGTATGAATTGCTTCAGGAGGAGATTTCTATATCTTTCGTTGTTTCGTGTTCCAGTATGCGAGAAATCAAGAGCACGTACTACCAGCGCAGCTTTCCTTCCAGATACTTGAAGATTGTTCTGCTTCAGGTAGATCTTAATTTGTCTTGCTCTGAGGGATTTGACTTCATTTTCTTCTTTCCAGTTAACGTCTGGAATGGTATTGCGTTCAGCTTCCCTTTTTTGAGCTTTCAATGCAAGAAACTCACGATGTTGAACAAAACTTTTGAGAGTGATTTCATCAACCATCAACTTCTCGTACACCTCCTGCATTTCGTTGGCGTTGGAAGCGGTTAACATACCAGAATCGACTAACTTCTTGACTTGTACACTTGGAAGTTGTCGGTCGATTTCATCGCTCAGAGCTTGCATTATATTTAGATCCTGGGGAGGAGAGCCTGTTGAACTTTGTTATGAGCCAGATATATATGGAATTCAGCAAATCGATTCAGTCGATGAAGAAACATTACTTTTATTCACATCAAAAACCGACAAAGCGTGTCTACGAGATCTATTTGATTCCCATTGTTTTATGGGGGAAGATGGAAAACAAGTTCATGATTTTTGCTTTACATAGGATCAGCTCAATTAATTAGAAGACGGGTTAAAATTGATCAGATGTGAATTTGCTTTTCATTTTGATGGAATATTTTCAATAATCATTTAACAGCTGTTCGTATTGATATTTGTTACAGTCTATCATGCCTGTAATGAGAATCTTTTATTGCATTTAATTTTGTTTACATTTCGAATAAAACGTAAGGCCCCCCTCCGTCAAATGAGTGATTTTACTTTGAGCCCCCCTATCTTGGCAGCAATTTTATGTAATGCCCCCCCTCTAGTTTTTCAGCCCCTCCCCCCCTCCTGATAATTATTACACAGTCCCTAACAAATTACGAGAGCGGGCATTGCCCTTAGCAGTTAGCATCAGTCGTTTTAGTCCATGGGGTCTTCGTTTTAGTCCAAGGGGTCTTCGTTTTAGTCCATGGGGTCTTCGTTTTAGTCCAAGGGGTCTTCGTTTTAGTCCAAGGGGTCTTCGTTTTAGTCCATGGGGTCTTAGGTCTTAGGTCTTCGTTTTTGGGTCTTCGTTTTAGAAACACCCAGCACTGCTCCTCTACTTCAGTTTAATATCAAGTTGTGCAATTCATCATCTGCTATGGCATTTATTTTTTGCTGCCCAGTTTCAATGCCAGAGGATCTGTTTTCACTATTAAAGTATGAATTTGTTGATGTACATATCTCCAATATCGAGCATTACAGTTGGACAGATTGTGAAAACTAAAGTCCGGGTAAATTTAAAATATAATAAATCATCATTATTTTTTATCTTGCACACTAATACTACTGTGCAATGAAGAATAAGTCTGTGAAAAAAAACAAAATTCATTGCCCTTGAAAAACTGACAAAGAGGTTGCAAGAACACAAATAAGTAGCTCAGCAAATATTTTTGTTTGATAATAACAGCTTTTTGTAATGAAATGGTCACTGAAAACTACCCATGCAAGACATATTAAGGAACTTCAAAGAAACTAAACATTCACTAGTCTTACATTGAAACCAGACATTGTTATTTATTAAAAACTGAATCATTGGATAATGCAATTCTAGCATTTTGATTGGCTTAGCCGTTATGGTATATATTATACCATGCTCTCCATATATGGTCGATGTACGCGTCAGTTTAAAATTGGAAGCTAGCTGAGACATTTTTTCGCGAAGGATAGAACGGCGCCCGATGCAAATCGTTTTAATTCATTTCTTAGAATACTAGAAATGCATGCAATTTCATCGAAAGAAAAAAGACAAAAACAAACAAAAAAGCCACAAGAGCTTGTTTGAAAGTTTGTCGAAAAACACCCGAAAATACATGGAACTAAAGTATCGTGACCAGCTACGAAAGAAGACAGGTGTTGTTTGTTCATGATCGCGAAGCCATTCGCCGATCGAGTCACTCGCCGATAGATAACTGCGGCTTGTTTATCCGACATCAAGAATATAAATCACAAGTAACCAGCTACAAATAAAGGCTATGCAGCCATTCACTAGAGCAATCGAGGCGGCAGTATAGCTTCTTTTCTCGTTCAGCAAAACCAGCTTGTGGCCTCAAACAAGTTCATAACAAGCGACCGAGGTAATAGTTTTTCTCCGTTGTTCTTGCTTTTGTAACTGCACCGAAAATCCAGATTCACAGTAATTTCGACGACTGTCACTTAAAAATTCTTTTCCTTCACATTATCTGCAAGGTTTTTTTTAGCTGTCCTGCTGTGTAAAATCCTAGAATCCCGATGAGTGTTAAAAAAATTAATCTTCATCGCTGCAATGTTTTGATTTTTCATTCATGCAGTCCAGGCGAGTCCGTTCGCGCGTTGACAGTTTTGATAGACGTGTGACATGTGAACAGCGGAGGTCCTTTGTCTTTTCCGGTTTGTTCTAGTAGGGGGAGATTCAACGAGTTTTTGTGGGCGTTTTTAATAAAACAATTATTCCACTCGCGCTTGTTGGATATGAGATGATTATAGCCAACTCGGCGTTACGCGCCTCGTTGGCTATCTATCATCTCATATCCAACGCGCCCTCGTGGAATAATTGTTAAGTAATATATCAAACATGAGATGCAGTGTTTCATCACCAGATGAAACACCGAGAAGAGAGTTGAAAATACGACGCGCAGCGGAGTATTTTTGACGAACTTCGAGGTGTTTCATCTGGTGATGAAACACTGTGTCGAATGTTTGATATTTCTTCTCAAACAAAATCATTTTTGAAGGAGAAATTAAGGATGCAAATACTGAGCAGTGTTTCATCCGATTTCCAAACACTCATTAAACATTAATTTCCTTTGTATTTTCTTAATGAATTATTAATGAGTTTGAGAAATATATATCTTGCAGATACAACATAAAACATTTATACACCTATTTCAATTAAGGTTGCTCCCGTGAACCATGTTTCATAGCCTGCAGTGCCCTATGGTAAACCCTTTTGTAGCAGGAAGTTAAGTCTTGTTCAGAGACTTGTCAGAAATTAACAGAGGGGGAGGGGGGTTGGGAATTTTAAATTTGGGTTTGGAAATTACGTGACCCATCCCTGCAATGGCAGTGAAATTTGCTAACCCTCCCCTGAGCTTGGCCTAAACATCATGACCCTCCCAACCTTACAGAATTGAAAAAAAAATGTTCCAGGCTCTTTAAGGTGCAGTATTCCAAGCCAACAAGTAAAAAAAGGAAACAAAAACAAAATAAAAGGAAAGCAAAGGAAGCTAGGGCAAAAAGAATGGAAGCTAACTGCAAAAGAGTTATTGAAACCATTGCACCTCGGCAAGAGTCGCATGATGTTACAGAACCTATTGGTCCATTATCTCTTCATTATGAAGGAATAAGTGGGCTCCTCAAAACAAAATGGCCATATATTCAATATGCCTTTGAGAAGGGATTGTTCACCAAAGAATCACTGGACATTGTCAAGCAATATCTACACTTCAACTTAAATGAAAATCATGATGATGATGAAAGTGATTGTATCAATGCTGATGACACAAGTGATGATGATCAAGATGCTCACACCAGCATTGATGGTGATGCTGAAGACAGTGATGAAAAGGATAACCAAAACTCTAATAACATTAGTAACAACATTGTTCATAATAAAAATGCAATAAGACTGTATAGCATTGGCCACTCCAGAAAATACCATAACATACCATAATGCTTTTTGATTGTCGCCCCAAAGTTTTGCATAAGCATTGTCTTCAGTTTCTCTTGGGAGTTAAAATGGCCCCAAGAGAAACTGAAGACAATGCTTATGCAAAATTTTGGGGTGACAAACAAAGAACATTATGGTATGTTATGGTATTTCTGGAGTGGTCAATTGTTATAAATGAAAAGTAGATGTTTGTTAAATTCTTGCAATAGTACTTCACAGTTTACATCCATAATGTTCCGTTGTTCTTTTTTTTTTTTTTTTTTTACCAAATAAAGAACTTCCTCTTTCTTCTGTGGGTGAACCTCTATATGATCATGGGCATATATGACCCTCCCCCTTTTAACGGCCCATTTCTAATGACCCCTCCCTTTTCTGAGTCTCAAAAGGTTGTGACCCTCCCTCTGTTTACACCCCCCTCTCCCCTGCTAATTTCTGACAAGTCCCTCACGTTCATTGAAATAATGGAGACCATTTGTGAAAAGGCGTTCAAGAGAGCTTTCAAGTCAAATGGCTGCTAAAATTCTTAAGCATGAGCGAGCTGAAAAATTATCTCATAGTAAAAAAATAGAAGCTTCTTCTTTTAACATTTAATGAATAGGGTTTAACCGCCTGATTAAGCTGCGTTTTTGCGTGGGCCAGAATTCTGATGATGACTGGACAGCTTCTATCTATGTCTTGGTGCAGCTTAAGCAAATAACACACTGTCTAAATGTACTCAGTGGTCAAGTGGAACCCGATGCCGAGGAGTACAGTTACCAGTTGAGAGTCAAAATAATTGGTCTACCAGAGATAAGTTCTAAAGAAACTGCGCCTGAACAAGTTCTTTTTGCGTCAAACTCTTTCAGGAAATGGGAGCTGAAGTATCCATTTTTGACACCGATATAGTGCATCGCGTCTCAACAAGGGACTGTGTCACGCTATTTACTATCCTTTTTTAAAGTTCACAAGTGTCTTCGCAGCAATTGCACATGGGAAGGGTGGGGATGGTACTCCTGGTGGGGGTACGTATGCCGCCCGGTTCACCAAATCCTGACCCTATTTCGACCAAAAAAATGCAATTTTCTACACCCGTTCTCAGACCAGACTTCTAAAATCCAAACCATTTTTCAGACCTGGCCTTTAGGTGGAAATTATGTCATCATATCTTAGATTAGAGTGCAAACAAAAATTTCGTCACTGACATGCATTTCGAACTCGCATATTTCTACATTTTCGTTCTTATTCATCTGGAATTGAAACGACAAATACGTTTATACACTTCCGTAGTTCCCTCGAAAATCATACCCGTTTTCAGACCAAACAGAAACAAAAAGGCAAAAACACTAACCTTTGCGGCGGCACAAACCCATATGGCTTACATAGGGAAGTACCCCACCCACCCCCCTCCCCCCCGCCGTGCAATTGTGTTACAAAAATAATAATAATGGTCCAACTTGGTTGTTTTGTCGTCTGTTGCAACAGATTGCAAGGATGGAAATGGTTTGAAACTTGAAGAAATTAGGACAACTTTTTCAAGTCACTCAATATCATGCCTTTAAATGTCAACAGCAAAAAAATACTTGAGTGTTTAGTTTTGTTCGATATCGTCTTCCGAACTCTACCGAAGCATTTCAGATTTATACGGGTAAGGACACTAAGGCCTGTTTCAAACGTCGTGCTACTGCCGTGCTAAGTTGGCTCGACTGTAGCTCGACTGAAGCACGACACCAGCACGACTTGGTTTCAGAAGTCGAATTTAATTCAGTCGAATAGAACCACAGGGAGCCCGCACAATCTGTTTGTGTAGCCGATTGTTATTTTATAGTAAATGTTCTGGATTTACCGTTTGCCTCACCTATAGCGATATGTCGCTAACTATGTATATAAATCAATGATAAATAAACGTTGAATTACCTTACCTGTGGTATATAGTCGTCCTTTTACCTCAAAAGCGGTTTTTGGAGCGATTTTCAAGGAGTTTGATTTCGCCGAACAAACAATAGAACAAACGCAACAAACGCTTACCAAGTCTTCTTCATCAGTTATTATTTAACCATTTAGTTATCCAATAAAAAAGAGGCAATCAGCGGGACGGTTTCTGGCTGGCACGTATGAATCTTGCTACGCATTCCTGCCGCTCGAATACTGTGGGATTTTAATTTTCTTCGACGGCTAGCTCCGGGCTGTTTGGATGGATTTTCGATCGGAAGGTACGAGGAGAAACGTGAATCTTTCTACCTTTTTGCTACGGAGTTTGTAAGCGGAGCGATGCGATTTTGGGGAAAAAAATTGCTCCGGCACTGGAGCGCTTTCAAAACATGGATTCCACCCTTGTCCTTCTATTATAAGGAACAGTCAACGGCGAAATCAAACTCCTTCCTTTGGACAAATTTATTGATAAAGTCCTAGTATATGAATAAGAATTACAATGCTAAAAAAGCTTGTGGTGGGGAAAAGCAAAAATCAATTAAAATATCAGAGTATTTACATAAAACTGGCAGTGCAACTTTTTGGTGAAAGTAAAATATCTAGTAGAATGAATTAAAAAAATGTCCAGCTTCCCCCCCCCCCACCCCCCCTTCAAATATATTGTTATCCTTACAGTATATAAATAACTTTATTGGAAAAATCATCCAGGACACTAAATGACATTTAACGTGATCACGACTAAAAAATAGAATACCACTGTAAAATTTCTCAACATTGTGTCTCAAAATGCACCAGATTCCATATAAGCGCATATTCATTTCAAAAAATTCCCGGGGGGCATGTCCCTGGATCCCGCTAGCAAGCTCGTGATTTTCGGCCGCTCGGGATGTCTCCCCCAAAACGATAAATCCTATAGATAGAACCCTGATTACCCCTGTTTGTCGGTAACATGCTTTGTCTACCTTCATTTTGTCTCACATTTATGTGAGTTTAGTCGTCTGGAATTTTATTTATCACCATTTTATCACGTTTTTATCGCGTTTTCCCGAAATTTTCTCTTTTGTATTAATTGCAACTTCCTGTCGCACGTCTTTTTCTTGCAGTTGGTTTTTGCGTTACGGATCCCGCTGATTCATGTGCTCGGTCTGAGAATGACGTTTTGGTCGTGTGTTCGATCTGAGGAAGATTTTCGGTCGCGGGTTCGACTAGAGAATGATTGTTTGGTCGTCCGTTAATGACCTCGGAAAGACTGATTTTGGTCGTGCGTTCGATTTTAAAAATGATTTGGTCTTGTTTCCCGTGACCTTAGACAGATTTTGACAGTGTGCACGACCTGTGAAAGATTTTTAGTCGTGTGTTCGATCTGGCGAAGATTTTGATCGTCTGTTCGGACTGGTCATGTGTTTCGACCTTGGAAAGAGTTTGGTTGTATGTCACACCTTATGTTTTTTGTTGGGCTTTTTCCCCAGCCTTCCCAGCCTTGCCGTGACCAGAGCGGAAATATAAACGACTCCCTCTAACCCGTCCTTAGGATGGGTTCTGGCGGGTGTTAGGCTGGGTGCAAACGGATGCAACAAATCCCAACATTGTTGGGAGTTGTTGCGTGCGTGTTGGCAGTGGTCTGCAAACGGATGCAACAACTCCCAACAATGTTGGGACCTGCAGTGCATCGTGGGAAGGATACAACCCATAAGTCTTTGTAAACCATGCGTAATGAGCGTGCGTGGCCCCAACAACAATGTTGGAAGAGCTGTGCAAACGGATCCAACATTGTTGCGCTACGCTTCGGCGATCGAGGAACAAAAAAAATGTTGGGAGTTGTTGGCTGAAAGGTTTGACAGGTTTAAAACTTTGCGCAACAACACGCAACAACATCCAACAACATGCAACAGGGTGTGCAAACGGACGCAACATGTAGCATCCAACAATGTTGGGAGTTGTTGGTCAACAGCGTTGCGTCCGTTTGCACGCAGCCTTACC